TTAGACGTGTCGAGGTCCTACATAATTGGTCAGTGTCGAGGGATCCTAACCTAATCACTCCAATGCAGTTAATAGAGAAAGTAGAGAAAGTTTAATAGAACTCACTAGAGTTTAGGTTGAGTTTACTTGTCTCATCTAGTTTCAGGAGCTGGCTTTTATACTTGATTTGTTGGTATATGGTGGTCGGCTGCTCGTCCCCCTTGAGCTTCTCATACCGTTAGGGGTTTATTTATGTCGACGGCTAGTGAATATGTCTTTCTATCGGTTACGCAAGGAAGGATGACTAAGGGCACATCATCTATAAGGTAGGGGCATGCCTGAAATAGTTAGGGGATGGGGACCAATGTTAGGTGCTTGAAGAGTCAGGCCACGCCATAAAAAATTAATGCTCCTTGTGATTGAGCATGCGACTTCTTCCGAAATCATGGTCGAGGGTGATGGATTGCTAGAGATTAGTGGCTCGATTGAGGGGAAGCTGAGAGGATGGGTCTGGTTGCCATGTATCAATAGTCAACTCGTACGACTCCTCTAGGGATCACATTCCAATTGGCAATTACGTGAGGAGACAGTGTTAGGAACAAGTCGATACTAAGAGTGGGGGGTGAATTAGTGCAGCAGATAAAAACGTCAGTTTTGAAAAATCCTTTTGTATGATAAAACCAAACTCGGAAATACTTAACTTGAAAATGAAGTAAGAGTGTATTGAAGGTAGTTTACAGTTAATGTAAATTGTAAGAAGTAAATGCAAACCAGAGAATACGCCAATTTTATAGTGGTTTGGTCGTCGTGACCTACATCCACTATGTTGATTCCTCTTCCATCGAGGCCATTGGCATCCACTATCGATCTTCCTTTAATAGGCGAAGATCAACCTCCTTCTTACACCCCTCTTCTCTGTTTCATAGGTTTAGGAGACAACCTTTACAAGCACTCACTCCTCCTAAATAGAATTCTAAACTTAGACTAGAGGAGGGGATTTCTTAAGTGATTGCAACAGCGTTTCTTCGCTTTTAAACTCTCTGTGCTTGTGTGGTTTAACTATGGATGAGAGGGGTATTTATAAGCCTCAAGTTGATTCAAACTTGGAGCCTAAAAACATCTCATCATGGGTTTCCTGGGTACAAGCGGTACCACCGCCTGTGCTGGGTGGTACCACCGCCTGACAGGGGCGATGCCACCGCCTGGCACCCTTCCACTAGGAGGTACCACCGCCTGACATAGTCTCGAAGACTGTGCCATGATGATACCACTTTTTGGGTCACTATTTGGGCCTTTCATTGGGCTCAACATAGTCTTTACATGGGCTCGACTGACTCTTAATTTGGTTGGCCTAATTCCAATTCTAATTACGTGCTAACTACGAAATTTAAGACATTTCCTTAGCTAAACAAGTCCGTAAGTCTAGGTTTCTTTCGGCGATCTTCCGATGATCTCTCGGCAATGTTCTAATGGACTCCCGGCAAGCTCCTAGATTTCATGACGTTCTTCTTGGTGAGTTCTAATGAGCTTCTTTGGCAAGCTCCTAGACTTCTCGGTCAATTCCAACAGAACTTCCGATGAACGTTCGGACTTCCGACGAACTCTCGAACTCCCAACGAAATCACGTTTTTGACTCTAGGACTTCAATTTGCTTTATGTCTTGCTATCGTAGTTAATCCTGTACATGTAAAAACACACTTTGATTTAGACAATTATTACTAAACTTGAATCATGTTGGTCGGCATGTCATTAGTCAATCGACGCTTCGTCCGATTCTTCGGCGCATCGTCCTCTCTTACGGCTTATTGCCCAATCGGCCAGTTGACTCCGCAACTCCGATATTGAAACTAGCACCATTAGAAGAATAGTTAAGTGTGGCTTAATAAATTATTATTTTGATGAACTTAATAGATGTAAAATTTATGTTAAATCAAAGATGATGAAGAAACCCTTCAAAAGTATTAAAAGATATACTAATTTGTTAGATTTAATATATTCTGATATATGTAAATTAAATGACATATTAACAAGAGGAGGTAATAGATATTTTATTACTTTTATAGATAATATGTCTAGATTCACATATGTGTACTTATTGAAACATAAAAATGATGCTTTTAATGCTTTTTAATGCATATAAAGCAAAAGTTGAAAAATCAATTAGGAAGAAAATTAAAGTTTTAAGAAGTGATAGTGGAGGAGAAAGCTTTCCTAATAAATTTAACTTGTTTTATGAACAACATAGTATAATTCATGAATGTTCAGCACCTAGAACACCTAAGCAAAATGGATTAGCAGAAAGAAAGAATAGAACTTATCTAGAGATGATTAATGCTATGTTGTTGCATGCTAAATTATCTTATAATTTATGGGGAGAAGCTTTATTGGCTGCATGCCATATTTTAAAAAGAATAAGATCTCTCCATATGAGTTATGAAAAGGAAGACAACTTAACATTGGTTATTTTAAAGTGTGGGGGTGTCTTGCATATTGTAAGAATAATGATCTTCAAAGGACAAAGTTGGGACCTAGAGGAATCAAATGTGCATTTATAGGCTATGCCTTAAATAGCAAAGCTTATAGACTTATTAATTTGAAGTCTAATATCAATCTCGAGATGTGGAGTTCTTTGAACATTTAATAACTTCAAGTAATAATATTCATCCTTCAACTAGTGAAGAGTCACTAGTGGAGACATCTCAAAAGGTTGGTGAGCAACCTAATATTCCTTTGATTGGGCATCAATCAAGTTCACAATAGGTTGAAGAGCAATCTCATAAATTAAGGAGAAGCACTCATGTACAAAAAGCAAAAACAATTCCTCTTGTTTTACAAGTGGAAGATGATCCATTCACCAAACCTTTTACAAGAGAAGTTGTAAGATCAACATTAAAATGGATGGGGCTAAAACTCTTTGAATAAAAGATTCACTAATGATAGTAACCTTACTCAACATTATGAAATGAGTAATGAAGAGTTCAAAGGGTAAGAATAAGTCATTGACATGTGGAGTGGTTTAGCACTTTGAAATATTTAACGAGTCCCATCTAAAGATGTTAAAGTACTGGTTGTCACCGAATGAGGGTTGAGTTAATTATACTCTTAATGAAGTTCAGTCAAGTTAGGACAAGTATCTCAAAGAGTGACAAAGATACTATAAAAACTTCACCTATATGAACTTAGAAGTGGTGCCGCTTCGATTGAGAGTTGGAGTTTTCTCTCATAAAAGTTCATGAACTTGGATGAGCCCAAGGCCTTATTAAGGCTGAGCGAGATTTTATGAGGAATACAAGGATATTGTATTTATGTGTGTGGTATCACTGGTGTTATCATTAGGAATAACAAATTCAAAGCTTTTATGCTATTTGGGATTTCGACTTCACTTTGTGATGCTTGCACTAAGGTAATATTCAAATCAAAAAATATATTACTTTATTCATAAATATTATTTAATTACTTGGAGAAAATTTTAAATTTGAATAAGTGGGGAATTGTTATAAATTGTTCAAATTAAAAAGAAAAAAGAATTTTTTTTTTTCAAAAGATTTATTTGAAAAGGTGGTTTCTTTTGTAGTTATTTTAGTAGTTATTTTTCAAAGGTTGTGTCTTTTAAGAAAAATATCTATAAATAGGTATTTGAGGGTAAATAATGTAGACATCTTTTTCATACTCTTATTCTTTACTCTCCAAGTGATTGAATTAGACATTCTAAAATTCCTCTTTAAAGATTCTTTATTGTTTGGTCAATATCCACTAAAACTATTTACATCAAAGTCATAGCAATCTTATTGCGAAAAGGGTACAAATATCGTTTTTAGAAAAGTATTTATACATGTTTCAAGCCTAAATATATTTCCTAAAATATTCTTGATCTTGTATTTGTTATTTGTTTCCATAGTGTTTTCATCCTCTTCTTTGTCGTATTTTTTCCAACATGAGCTTGGAGTCCACAAGTGCTTGTGCTTGTGACGAGGCACTCAGCATTCTCTACTCGCTTCAATTCTCCGAAGAAGGCCTTCTCAATCTCGTCAAGAGAAATGTCGGCATGATCGACTCACTGACGACCATACTGAGACAGTCGAGCTATCAGTCACGAGCCCACACGACGCTATTGCTTGAGTCCATACTTGGAGTGTTGTCGTAGGATCGATTGACGGATCTCAGGGAGGAGCTATTCCAAGATATCGTCAACGTCATTTGTGACAAGATCTCGCACCAGGCGACAACGCAGCATTGCATCTCCTCAACCGAACGTATCCATGGGGAGGAAACCGAATCAAGGAGGTGAACGCCAGGGCGGTGCACGTCCTCATCGAGCTCCTACTCGAAGAACCTGACCATAGGATCTGAACGTATCCATGGGGAGGAAACCGAATCAAGGAGGTGAACGCCAGGGCGGTGCACGTCCTCATCGAGCTCCTACTCGAAGAACCTGACCATAGGATCTGCGAAAGTGGTGCTCGTGGTGATGGAGCAGCTCTACAGGTGTGCCGAGGGGGGAGCTGCGCTGGTGGGGCATGCGGCCGGCATCCCCATAGTGGTGAAGAAGATACTGCAGGTGGCGAGCGAGAGAGCAGTCAGGATACTGCACTCGGTGGCGAAGCACTCGGCCACTCCCGGATTGCTGCAGGAGATGCTGCAGACGGGAGTGGCGTGCAAGCTGTGCCTGGTGCTCCGGGTTGAGTGCGTAGTAAAGACCAAGGAGAAGGCAAGGGAGAAACTGAGGCCGCACTCGAGGGTGTGGAGGAGCTCCCCTTGTCTCTCTCCTCCAGTTCCAGCTTTCATACCCTACTACTTCATGACAGTAAACTGCAGAGAGAAAAATGAAAAGGTAGCTCCAAGATTGTATAGGATTCAAGATCACCACCAAACCATTGATTGATGATTCTTTTATTAATCAGCAAAAAGAAACAAATCAGTTGATTCCTTTCATCAACTTCAAACAGTTGTGTGGGCTCCAGACATTACATCGCATGAACAAGCATTTCCTTCAATTTGACATAAATTATGCAGATCAACTCTGTTACCAAGTCCATGTCATTGCAAATATAGAATTCAAAAGGGACAACCAAAATGGGCATATCATGTGGTACTTGTGTTCATTATTACATCATCTATTTTTACCAGATGGTGAAAATTGAGATTAAGCACAAAAGATATGTTAAATCTATTCAAATGCAAGCTACACTAGTTCAAAAGGTAACTCCCCAGCATTCATCTTAAGGAACCTTGCTCTCTATTGGTATTCCAGCGAGAGAAGGAAGATGTCACTCAAAGGCACTAGACAAGAAGAACTGCATTTATGCAACCGTCATTCTCCGGGTTATTTGTGACTTGTGCATATTTTCCTACAAATAGTTGGAAAGGAGAAGAGTTTCAGCGGTGAGGCAAGCCAAAATAAATATATTAAGTCTTCATGTGCAGAAGATTCTTACCCCACACTACTTTTCCTGCTGGTGTCACCAGACCAAGTTCACTCACATTAACCTGCCATTTCAAAATCAAGATAACCGATGTATACAGGAGGAAAGTTTATAAAGCTATGCCTAAAATGAAACACTCTGACAAGAACCAGAACTCAATTTGTAATAATCCTTAGCAAATACAATGCAGTTCTAAGCATGTGTAATATATCATCACCAATAATATCACTTACCTCAATAATGGTTCCTTTGGTCACAACACCAAGAGAAGTGTACATAGGACCATTTGGATTCTTCTTTATCCCGATTATCTCAAGGTTAAAAGTACATTTCAGTTCTGGGTGTGTCACATGGGCTTTAGTAAATCTCAAGCCTGTAGGTCGGATGAATCGCTCATACTTTGGAGGTTTTCTTGTAAACCCTTGCCCAACGAATGTGACTTTTGTGACCATTCTCTTCCACTGCTTGGCTGTTGGGGTAAGCAGAAAGTGTCAAAACATTTTCCTCATAGGGTAAGGCACGTATTAAATGTTAGAATACATAGCCGAAAAAATGTATCTACTATCTAGTTCAGTATTTGAATGTTATATTGAACTGGAAAACCACAATTTTTAAGTGGCAACATAAAGGATTATAGTACATGCTCATTCAAGAGATACAAACAACAAAATACATGAAACCTCTGACCCATTCAAGAGCTACAATGTAAAGTATATTTGGATGCATATACACAAGTGTACGCATACATCTGTATATATTATAGATTTGTGAACATGTGTCTTTACAAGTAAATGGAACATAACACACAAACAAACCTTTGGTCCAAATTATTAGGAATCAGCTATGTAGAGCATTTCCCAGGTCTAACTAGGGTCTCCAAGTCCTTGTCCACTGTGTAGCACCTATATACTCCAAATTGATCCCTTTTTCAGTTTGCCACCCCTGTGTAGAACATCTCCAGCATCCTTGGACAAACAGTAATCTAGGTTCTCTCAACTGACAGAGTAAAGCATCAAGCAAATTCTTACATGTCAATTTCCGGTACACCTTCCTCAAATATAATCCATTACATAAAAATTCCATGACCAGTCAGAATTGCTTAGATTATTTTGACTGCTAAGATGTTAAGCAAGATGACATTCAAAATCAATAATAATTTCATAAAATTGATAAATACTATAGAAAAATTGGTGACTTAAAGAGGTACAAAACTACAGTATATGTTTCATGGTCTCTCCAAAGAAAATGTATATCATCATCTTCATGCATGTGGTCTGATTATTTAGTTGTTGCAACAAATAGTTTGCTTGACACTGCAAGGCAGGACTCTTATGCATCAAAGGAGCAACGGCATAAAGCTCTAAATCTATCAAGATCCACAACAAAAGTTGATCATCAAATAGCAATTAGAGTATATTTTCATGCCATGATGAAGGAAAACAATACAAGCAAAGAATTGCTATCAACCATCAATATAACAAATTGAATATAGAAGGTAATAACAGTATTTAGACTTAATCAGGAGAACTACCACAGGAATCCAAGAACCAACTAATATAAAAAGGCAAACCAAAGTCGGGTTCTAGGTCTTCCATCTATTAGATACATCTGCAGTTGCAGGCCCCCTGTTCTATCCTCTATTAGATGCACGTACACACAGACTGTCTTTGACTCCTCCCCCCTCCCTCTGAAGATATAAGTTTGACTAAAAAAATAAAGACTACAGAAACGAATGATCAATTGGACATATAAAGGGAAAGTGGGGCTCTAACTCAAGCCTATTGGATTCATTCACAGTTGCATAAAATTTTGGAAAGGAGGATATCAAGAAATCATTTAATTGATCCAGAGCGAACTCAGATTGGTCTAGAGACTAGATTCTAAAGTAAGCTGAAACTCCATATAAAATTTGTTACTGACAATAGTAAATGCAATAACTAAAATAAGATACTTACTTTTACGCTTCCCAGATCGGATGACTCGGAACATCTCATCTTCAGCCACAGGTCTGACCTAAATAAGAAAAGAACACTCATTTCATAACTTTGTCAATTGACCAAAATCTCCAATAGTAGATCATGGTCATCAAAATGTTTGTGTTAAAGTATATTATGAACACAAGCTCACCTTTGGTAAGGGGACCTCCCATTTACCAGCCTTTTCCTTCCTTTTTTGCTTAATAGTGTTGCTCAGTACCTAAAGAAACCAATGCCACCAGAGGGAAAAGAAGAAAATGTAATTTTTAAAACAAAAAACCATATATTTCACTAAAACTATAATGCATGGTATGACAAATTAAACGATTGTAACCTTTGCCCGTGTTGTGGTATCACGATCCAAAAGATATGCAGGAATAGCTCCATCATGAACCTTATCATCCACCTTACGTCTACTTGATGATTCATCATGCATAGCAAGCCTGGGAAGGAGCAAAAGAAGGTAATCTGTTAAATTTCACTTCACTTGATGTAGTCAATTAAATTAGAAACTCCGTGAGAGCAAATTTCTTGTCAATCTATTAATTCTGAAATGTTACCAGATAAAATTCCATGTTTATACAGACAAAGAAACTTATCAGCATTGCCAAACATGGACTCAACTACAAAATCATGTTAGAATAATATGTTCAGGATCCCAGTGCCAAAAAATCGTTCCCATAATATTTTCTTTCAGTGGCTCGATGTATGATAAGGATCCTAATTCCAACATAATAAGTTGCACCAGATTGAGTGTCACATCGTCGAATGGTACACATATCAAGTAATATAAGCTATTTAGATGGTACACGAAAACCCCACTAAGGGAGCCTATGTTGCTAAAGAAGTCCACAATATGTAAGGGATGCAAAAGAGGCTTACGTTTTCTTCATCAGTGCCTTCTCCGCATAACGCTTCTTGGCAAACATTTTTCCTTTGATACCCAAAGCCTGTTCAGAATTTGTGAAAACATCAGAGAAATAGGTATCCTTCGCAAATCGCACGGCATGCAGTGGGGAAAAACAACCCCTAAAACTCCCAATCAGTAGCGAAGTCCAACCTTTTGGGCATAGGCCGAACGCTTGTGAACCTCGCGAGCCTCCTTCTTCCGCTTCCGCTCAAAGTGGTCCAGCCGGTAGCCATGACGCTTCCGGTGAAGCTCGATGTGATCCCCTTGCGGCTGTTCCCAGAATTCCACAAATCAAACAGACGAATCACAAAAAGGAAACAGGAGAGAACGAACAAGTGAGGCTAAATGGGAGGAATTAGGAGAACTCACCATGGCGGCGGCGGTAGATTGAACAGCCGGCAAAAACCCTAACTAGGAAGAAGGGCTTTGATCGGCGGGCGAAGGGATGGAGTTAAAGACCAGGTCCGATCTGGTAATCCTCCGGATCAGTCTAAACTTAAAAAGTTTTCTATTCAATTCTGATCGTCTGATTTATATCTAACGGTTCGGATCACAAACTGGGTGAGAACGAGCCAGGCCACACAATAAAAAGTCGGGCTTTAGGTTTTGGACCGTATAAGGTTGGACTTGAGGCACCTTTTTCCTTTTTTTTTTTTTTTGTTTTGGGGTGGGGGGCGCGGGCGGTTTAAAGTAAGTGGAAAGGCATGATTCGAATATGGCGATGTTACGAAAAACTTTAGAAAATTTTATAAAATAAAATAATCGATATTTTATAGAATATATTATATAAGATTTCGAAACCTTAATTTTTGGTTAATAGATTTGGCACACCACCATTAGATCAGTGTTTTAGATATAAATATGTGGATGAAGCTTATTTTTTCTCTATTTTTTTAATTTATCACTCTCAATTTACCTCAATCTAATAGTAATTATTTTTTTATTGATCATTAACATAATAATTAGATATGAATACCCGAGGAATTGATAATGATTTTGAGTGATATTCTTCTTGTTAGAAATGAGAAACGATTGAAGGACAAAATTGACCTCCTTGATATCATGGATATCGATACAAGAAGTTGTATCTATTGTATCATCGGCCATCTCAATAATAGTGACAACCGCCACCTCTTAGATGATTATGCCACATCACCCATCACATTTGCAATCGAACTGCCATCCATGAGGTGATTAGGCCTCGTCACCTATTATTTCATTGGTAATTATGCCACCTCGACAATTGAAAGTAGTACTATCTCATAGGAAAGTTAGGCCACATTATCAGGTCCCTCGATAATCGCTTCAATCATCCTAACCACGAGCAATTAGAGATCTCTTAGGATAAATAACCTTTCTCTTTGTTCCACATCCCCACACGTTACTAAATTGAGCATCGGAATCAGACGGATCGAGTTGGGAATCCTTTGGTCGATCTTCTACGAGTATTCATTTGGCAGCTCAGGAGAGATGATTCTACGAAGCAACTACTCATATCAACACGGGTCAAACACCCCCAGCAACTTCTTGACGTCTCGAGTCATCGACTCGACCGGCTTTCATCTCATGTCCGAATCGAGTCGGGTCGTCCCCAGCATCGCATCGAGGATAACAACCAAAGCCATACTTTTGAGTGCTAAAGCTGATTGATAGGTGAATGCTCGTAGGATGCTATTAAGACTTGGCATTTGGTGTAGTACTGCTTAGCATGACTCATCCCCATCCTCGATCTCAAAAGCACAAGAAGAATAAGATCGAGGAGCAGCAACAACAGTAAGACTTAGAAGCAAATCTAAGAAAGCTCCCAATATAGCCCCCTGAATCCTCCTTGCGTTCATCCTCAAGTACCAAACCAACATCTCCTCTAGCCATTCCCAGTCCTCCACCCCGTGCGCCCTTATCATCTCCTCCATCGATTCCCTGAAGTCCATAAAAGGGTCCACAGAATCTACCACCATGGCAGTACTGCCTTGGAACAAAGCACTCCCAGCCTCGTCAGTCTCCTCCACTATCGAGCTTGTGCTACCCGCAGGCTCGAAGAACAACCGATCGGAACTCAGTCCGTGAATCACTGCCTCCGGAGCGTCCAAGCTGCCGGACGCTGCAACCGGCGAGCTCGTAAAGCATATCGATTCGCTGAAGTCGAAGTAAGACAAGGTCGTGACCTTGTGGACTTCACTGCCATCACCTTTGCAGCCTTCCTTCCTGAAGGACTTGGTCCTCGAACGCTTGCAAGAGGGCCACGTCCTTAGTTTGGCAAGTCCCACATAGTCCCATATTAGGAAAATCAAGCTTGTTATCTTCTATTGTAACTATAAATAAGAGCCTAGGCTTTGAAACCAGATGCACCACCAGAAAACCTAATTGTTTGCTTTGGACTTTTCTTGTTTAGTAGTTTTAAGTGTTTTATGACCTAAGAATATTTTCCTAAGGCATTTGTAATTATCCCTTTTATAGTAGTGATTTACTCCACCTTCGTCCGTGGATATAGGTCAATTAACCGAACTACGTAAATCTGGTGTTCTTGTCTCTTTTATATTTGGTTGCCAAATTATCCTTTGGTAAATTTCTTAGAGCAAACTCTAACAAACTAGTATCAGAGCTTAGTTTCAGAATCTTTTGGCAACGATGACAATAACAAAGATCATTATCGAGAAATTCGATAGAAATGTCAACTTCGACATGTGGCAGCTTAAAATAGAGGCCATTATGGTTCAAAACGGAGTTGATTTGGCATTACAGGGAGCTGAGAACATTCCAGATGATACGTCAAAGGAAGATCTTGCGAGTATGGATAAGAAGGCCTAATCAAGCATTATTCTAAATCTCTCTAATGAGGTTTTACGGAAGGTAGCTACGGAGATTACAGTCAAGAGCATGTGGAATAAGCTTAAAGCCTTATATATGAAAAGGACAGTGGAGAATCGTCTCTACTTGAAGTAGAGTTTGTATATGTTTCGGATGACTGAAGGTACATCTATACTCTCATATCTTGATAAATTTGATTCCTTAGTTATAGATTTGGAGAATATAGATGCGAAAGTTGATGACGAGGATAAAGCCCTGTTACTTTTGTGTTCTCTTCCCCAATCCTTTAAGTATTTCTGTGATACTATAATTTATGGAAAAGAAATAATTTCGTATTAGGAAATTAAATCTACACTAAAATCTAAGGAGCAGATAGACAGGGATATCACTAGGGAAAGTAGAAAGAATCAGGCTGAGGGTCTGGTTGTTAGGGGCAGAATAGATAAAAGGAAATTTGACAATAGTAGATCTAAATCTAGACATAGAAATTTGGAGTGCAGATATTGTCATAAAATGGGGCACATTAAGGTTGATTACTTTAAATTGAAAAATAAATTAAAGCAAAAGGAAAAAATTGTTGAGAAAACTATTGAGTCCGTTGAAGCTAGTGTAGCAACTGATGAGAATGTTGGAAATATTTTTTTGCTACTAATGACAGGACGAGGTCTAAAAATGAATGGATTTTAGATTCGGGTTATTCTTATCACATGTGTCTCAATAGAGATTTATTTTCCATATATGAATCTTGTAATAGTGGAATTGTTTTGATGGGCAATAATGCCGCATATGATGTTGTTGGTAGAGACACAATCCGAATTAAAATGCATGATGGTATTGTGAGGACGCTCACTAATGTTAGACATGTTCCTGATTTAAAAAAGAATCTCATCTCTTTAGGCACCCTAAAGGCTCTTGGGTGTAAATGTTATGATCAAGAGCACTAAGAGGGGGGGGGGGGTGAATTAGTGCAGCGGAAAACCTTCTACGATTAAAAAAAAACGTTCGTTCGATAAAAGTGATTTCAGTAAGAAAGCCAATTCGTAAATCACTTTAACTTTTGATTAAGCGAGATGCAGCAAAGATATAAATGTAGTTTGCAGTTATGGTTCAAATCAGATAGTAGGCACAAACTGAAATATGATATTCGTACGAAAAAACAGATTTACGTCTAAATGCTGATTCATAAATCACTTGATTAAGCAAGATGCAGTTAAAGCAAGGATATAGAGGTAGTTTGCAGTTATGATATAAATCAAAACGTAAGTGCAAACTGAAATATGATGATCGTACGATAAAACAGATTTACGTCTAAACGCCGATTTGGAAAGTGCAAAGCTTGAAACCCAATTCGTATATGTGCAGAAAGCAGTAAGCTTTTGAGGAGGTTTNCAGTAAAGATAATATGCTCAAAGCAAATGCAAACAAGATTTAGAGTGTTCGGTCAATCTTGTGTT